GCAGAATTTTGGGATTTTGGTGATGGGAAGGTGCGGCAGAATGCAAGGGCAGATTCTGGCGTGAATGATTGTGTATGAGAGGTGGTATCTGATCTAGGGGTTATAATGAGTATATATAGGCATCCAAAACCCTAGGGTAATCAGATTAGGGTTTCTAGAAGCCCAAATCCACCAGAAATTAGGTTAAAACAATCAGATTTTTAGTGGGAATAAGGCCTAAGGTGCGGCTAGGGTTAGGGTTTAGAGATGGGCCTTCTAGAATGCCTTGCAAGGCAAGGAAATCAGATATTCTAGAGGCCTAGGTGCGGCTAGGGTTAGGGTCCACAAGGAATTAGGGTTTAGGTCATCTAAAAGCCCAAAACCAAGAATAGAAACTCTCGAAAATGGAAACCTCCAAGAATAGAAACTTCCAACTTTAGAAACTTTGGTTTCCAAATCTGAATTCTTTGTTCTTCACTTTCATTTCTTCATTTCTTAAGCTCCTTTGACCTTCAAACTCGTCCATTCCTTATGCTCCATTAGCATACACTCCATTCTAGCTCAATTTTGCTCTAAAATGCTCCATTTTGCACTTCTTTGCATACTTCGTCTCTAAACCTGAAATTGCACGAAAATGACTTTAAACACTAAAATAACTAAAGAAAAACAACATAAATGCTTAAGAACAAGCCAACTAAGTCGCATAAATATGCTCCTATCAGCCTTCAATTAATCTTGAGCATAGTGACATAGAGTTTTGACTTAAAGATAGCTATCACCAATCTCATTCTCATACCTTGATACATCATTGTCGTTTTATGAACTTGTGTTAATCTATACTATACTAACCATGTGTGATCTTGAAGACCTATCTTTGTAGCATTGCATCTCCGTAAAGACAACCACGATCCTCATAGGTAACGATTTGCATATACATAAAAAATTGCATTTGTACGTATTAAATTTGTATTTACATTACTGAAAATATGAGTACACCCCTTGAAATTCAATTTTCTTTAATTAAAACCCATCATGATAAATTTCTCTAACAAAAACCCAATGACTAGGCTCCAACTAAGCAATATCCATAATTAAGTATGACTTGGCAAAATTTGTATTTTTGGATGTCTAAATTACCCCTAATAACACTTACTTTGGGCCTCTCACTTATTATCTCCATTTATTTTACATTATTTTATTCAATTAAATGTTCAAATATTTACATGATACCAATGTTCCTTATATAGTTGTTTTCACATGATGCTAACAGGTAAATTAGTATATCCTACAAATATAAAAAAAGTTAATTTATTCAAAATTATCAATATTTTAAATGTAACATAGGTAAATTATTTTGCACAACATATATAACAATATAAGTTCCTAGTAAATTATGTAATGATATATGTAAAATAATTTACCTACAAAATAAATAAATATTTTTTATTCAAAATTAATTAAATACCAATATTTTGTAAAAAATATATATATAAAACAATTTGCCTACATGCAAAATAATTTACCTACAAAATAAAAGAATGTCGATTGATTGCACACTCTATATAATAATAACAAAATGTGGCTAGTACATATGTAATATCACATGAAAAATAATTTACCTACAAAATAAATAAATGTTTTTTGCCAATTGATCCAAATTAATTAATTACATATTATTTTACATAAAAATATAGATAAATCATTTGTATGCATATATAATTTTAACAAAATGTGTCTAATACATACATGCAAAATAATTTACCTACAATGATTGTCAAACAAATAAAAGAAACGAAATATATGATGGTAAGAGAAGTATAAAGTAGATAATTTTATAATAATAAGGCACTTATTTCTCACAATTATGGTGGATAATTAAATTCATTAACATAATTATAGTGTTGTTGTGACAGCCCGTCGCTGATTTTAAGAGTTAAAGTTTTAATAAAGGATTTTACAAAAATGCCCTTTGAGGCATGCGCATTATTCGAGGTTAATCGTTGTGTCGTGCCATCTAAGATTTGTTCTCTTGACATATTCTCGTAGTACTCGTCGCTACGGACGTGTGGGCGCTGACGGTTCGTTATTGGGAGTTATAACGAAAAAGATTTTAAAGTTTGAAGTTTGGGCATTTTATAAATTTTATTATTAAAATTTGGATGGCCCAGATTAAAGGAATTTGAAATGGATGGTTGGGATGAGAGAAAGAAGGTTTGTGCGTGTGTGTGCGTAAGAAGAAGAAGAAGAATGAGGATTGGGCATCGGGGAAGAAGAAAGGAAAAATAGGATTGGGCAAAACTGCCCAATCTGAAAGAAGAAGAAGGGGACGAATCAGGAGAAGAAAGAAGGAGAATCTGGCCAACCAGGAAAGAGGAAAGGAGGAAAGGAGGGAGAGAGAGACGCGGGGGATCGGCCGGATCCCCTTGGCCCATTTTTGACCCGGTCGACACCCATGCCGATTTTCGGTGATTTTCACCTGTTTTTCCGGCGAATTGCTTCAAGAAACTTCATGTGAAACACTCTAGGAGCCTTCCTCTATCCATTCCATCTCAAATTTGGAGAGATTTGGCTTTGAAAATGGAGAAAACCGTAAGAAGAGGTGCGGCGGCTTTGGCTTCGAATCACCCAATTCCGAAGCAATTTATTTCAATTGCCACCACCCATACACTTCTATTGAGGCCTAGAACAAAGCCCAATCATTAGTTGGAGCATCGGAGTTGATTTGAAGACGAATTGGAACTCACCCAATTCTAGGGTTCTGCACGGATTTTGGTGAAATTAGAGCTCTTTCAGGCCAAATTGGCCTTGGCCTCAGGTATAAAGTTTACTCTACTCGTTAAGATCTTCAATTCTGTATTTTTTTTAGAATTTTTGGAAATAGTTGGATTTTCCGGCGAGCCGGGGCGGCCAACCGCCACCCGCGGCGGCGCGTGGCCAATGGCCCACCAATGTCATTCTTAGCATGTGTTTAAGGTTCTAGGTTCATTTTTGATAATTGATGGATGTAAATTGAATAATTGAACCTAAGTTCGTTACGATTCGTGGTTAGGTGAAAATGTGAATTGACGATCCGACCGTTGGATCGTCACCAAACTTTGATATGTTGTAATACGTAATATTTGAGGATTATAGGAACTTACGGATTGGGAATCCAATATACGGATCTTCCGAAATTGGAGTTGTAAGTTCATAAAATAAAATGTTAACCGTCACTTGGTTTTGGAAATTGACAGAGATCCGACCGTTGGATGGTAATGAAATTTTAGGATGTTGTCCTAGAGGTATATTGTGGACCTCTGAAAGTTATGGATTTGAAATCTGAGTTGCAGATCTTCCGGATCGAACTACGTAGTGACGTGTTTTATATAAGTTATATATTCTATCGATATGATTTCTGAGGTTGGATTTGATTATTGTTCTAGGCGCCGATCGTTATGACGCCTTGATGTGTTGTGCTAGGAAGTTGTTGGGCGAACTCCAGGTGAGTGGGCAGTATTTTCTGTTTATACCTATATGCTATCTAAATTCCCAGAAATTAAGTTTTAATGAAAGTATGTTTTAAAATACCATGCATGCATAATATGAATGATATGAATGATATGAGTTATATGAATTGATAATTGATGCATATATATATGTGAATTGGTGCTGTGGACGCACAGGTAAGTATCAGGTGAGTTTTACATTATTCATGTGAATCATTGATGATGTATATTATGTTGATAGCTCATAACCTGCAATCATGGTGTTAGTGCTTATATTATTCACCTCGCACCGCACGCTCATCTTGGATTCAAGTAGGTGCATGTCGTACAGACCATGAGAGGGTTCCGACATGTCGTACAGACCATGAGAGGGTTCCGACTGATAGGTGACCTTAGATTATGTGCACAGATTATTGATGAGAGAAGCACTAGAGCGTATTATTACACCATTCATGTCGTACATACTACTTCAGGTAGTTCCGACTTATATGCAGTGTAGTGCCGTACAGGTCACCGAGGTGACTCCGGTTGGATTGGATGTTGAGCTATAGAATTAACCGTATAGGACCAACTGCAGGGTCTCCGGTTAATTCATCATTTCACCTGTTACATTGATGCATCATTCATTCTGTTTTTGAAATTATAACATGGCATACTTTCTGGTTTTTGAGAAAAATTGATGATTTGAGATTTATGAAAAGTATTATGCTATTATGCTATTTTCTGGGAAAGTATACAGGTTTTATAGCGAGGGGTTAGAAATGTTTTAAATGAAAAGTTTTCGAAAAACTTTGTTTTACTGACCCACTCAATTTTGTTTTGCGCCCCTCCAGGTTCTAGATAGCAGAGCTTTGGTGGCCACGAGGAATCCAACGGTGTTCTGACAGAATTCACAAAAATAGGACTCACCCTCAGGTGTTTCATCTTTGTAATTGTATTTTTCAAAGCTTCCGAACTGTGTAAATGGTTACAACATTCTCACGTGACGGCCAACATGCCCTCCTTCGGGACGGGGTGTGTCAGTTGTGGCACAATTGTAAATAGTTTGAAAATAATACGTATTTATTTGTTTACATGGCAGTCTACTTTAAATTTGGGTTTTATTTGGATGTTTAAAATGAAATGGGTTTTTGTCAAGAAAATAAATGTTGCATGAACTTATATCTAAAGAACCCATTAATTTATTATGCCAACTAAGCATCTGCTAAAAGTTCGTGCCACAAACATCTCCAATGAAATTGAATATTTCCTACCTTCCATTAATTAGTGCATCAAATTCGACCATATCTAACACTGTATGCTCAAGGATTATTAGTGTGGATACATGCTTAATAAAGATAACTCCGATAAAGATAATAGCTTGCTTCCAATTTCTTGAACAACACACATTGTGATTCTGTGAACTGCAACTACTTAAAGCAGATTTTCCTAGGTCCTAAATTTCACATTAGAATTATTACAAAATAAACAACTTCCTATAAAACCAGTAGAACTTGGATCATTGTGTGTATTCTTCCACACGCAAAACTAGTCCATTCAAATTCAACGGTTTATAACTAAAATTAAACTTGTAAAACATAAATTCGATCTGCTACCACATTTACCTCCACAGCTATATCACATAACTCTTCTGCTGCACCTTAGTTCTCTCCGCGTCGATAATGGACTCCACCAACTTAACTGTATTGTCCAACCTCCCCTCCACATTCACCACCACATAATCGAAATTCTTAACATGCTTCACCTGTAACATCCCACATCGCCCAGGGGAGTGATCCTTAACTGTATATTCTCATCCCTACCTAGCACGAGGCCTTTTGGCAGCTCACTGGCTTCGAGTTCCGTTGGAACTCTGAAGTTAAGTGAGTAGCGTGCGAGAGCACTCCCATGATGGGTGACCCACTGGGAAGTTACTTATGAGTTTCCAGAAACAAAACCGTGAGGGCGTGATCGGGGCCCAAAACGGACAATATCGTGCTACGGTGGTGGAGCAGGCCCTGGAAGTGGTCCGCCCCTGGCCGGGATGTGATAAATGGTATCAGAGCCAATCATTGGCTGAAGTGTGCCGACGAGGACGTCGGGCCCCTAAGGGGGGTGGATTGTAACATCCCACATCGCCTAGGGGAGTGATCCTTAAATGTATATTCCCATCCCTACCTAGCACGAGGCTTTTTGGGAGCTTACTGGCTTCGGATTCCGTTAAAACTCCGAAGTTAAGCGAGTAGCACACGAGAGCACTCCCATGATGGGTGACCCATTGGGAAGTTGCTCGTGAGTTCCCAGAAACAAAACCATGAGGGCGTGATCAGGGCCCAAAGCGGACAATATCACGCTACGACGGAGTCGAGCCCGGGATGCGGTGGGGGCCCAGGCCGGGATGTGACATCACCTCCTCCCTAGCCGTCGCAACCCTCACAATAAGTCCTTCGTCTCGATTTTCCGGTCAATCAGCCTCTCCACAACCTTTGCCCTACTTTCCGCCATAAAAAATATGAAAACAGCCGAATTCCTAAAAATCTTCCTCAGAGTCTGAGCACCTTGGATGTCAACTCTCAAAACAATGTCGTACCCTTTCCCCAATTCATCCCTAATCTGCTGTTTGGGAATCCCTTTATAGTTTTCGTACACCAGCGCGTACTCTAGAAACTCGTTTCTCTCCACCATTGTCAAAAACCCATCTTTGCTCACAAAGTAATTATCTTTGCCGTGAACTTCGTCAGGCCGCATTACGCGGGTCGTCACCGTTACCACGAAATGCAAGTTCTCGTTGGAATCCTTGAGCTTTTTTTATGACCGTGTCTTTCCCGACGCCGCTGGGGCCACTAATGACGATAATTATGGGGCTGGGCTAGGCCAGAGCCGCTCGGAGTTGAAAGACGATCCCAAGGAGGCCTCCAGAGTGCGGAGGAGCTTGGAGCGATGAGCTTTTTCGATGTGGGGAATGGGAACTAAATCGGGTCAGCAGGCGTCGCCTATTTGAGAGGATAAGGGTCGGGTGCTGGAGGGAAATGAGAGGGTGGGTTTTAGGTAGGGGATGTGGATGCAAATTTCTTCCTCCTCGATCTTGGACAAAATTGCACCTACAAAACAATTAACACATTTGGTCAAGGCCAAGAGCCTCACGCGCCCACGATGAATGAGGGGCTTTGGCCGAAGAACCTCCGATGCCAAAGTTAGAATTTAGAGAGAAATAGTGTTTAGAGAATTTTGGGATTTTTGCAAAAGTGTTCGAATGAGTGTTGGGTGAAAATTGGTGCCTATTTATAAGGCTAGGCTAGTTCACTTTGGAGAGAAAGTGGCCGGCCAATTGATGGGTTTTTGGTTGAATTTTTGGTTTAATTAGCCAATTTATTGGCTAATTAAACATGAAAGAAATAAATGGGGGGTTATAGAATTAATTGACTAACTTAATTTGGGTAATAAAGTGGGAAAAGACAAAAAAGGTAAAGAGCAAAGGGGATGGCCGGCCTTTGACTAGCTTTGGGGTTAAAGTGGATGTATTTTGTGGTTAATTGGATGATTTAATTGATATTTAATGGATTAATCCATTAATTAACCAATTAACATAATTTTGGAGTGAATACTTTGGAGGTTACCTTGCGAAAGGGGATTTGATGAGATGAATCTTGAATTGTTACCTTTTTGGAGCATTTTTTATGCTGCTCGCATGTAGGAATCCTAGTGTGTCTCAATGGTAGTTTGGTCATTTTTTACTAAAAATCCACGTGTCGCCTTGTGATTATTTTTGGCTCCACAGGGGTGGTGGAGGGAATTGGGGGATGGGAGGATTTTGGGGCGGAGGAGGAGGGGAAGGAGGAGGAGAAGAGCGAGAGATAGAGGAGGTGAGGAATATGCCAAACCTCGAAAGGGAGAGATAGTAGGGAGGAAGAAAGGTGGGGGTGCACTATACGAGGTTGGGAAGCAGAGAATGGAATCGAAGCTTTACAATTATCGGTTAAAGTAGATAAGCTCATTTTTTAGGCTGAGCCTAACCAACAGCAACAAGGCTTGGGGCCTTTGGAAAGGATGGCAGGCGGTGGCACAATGCAATTTAAGGGGGTGTGTTTATAGAAAACGAAATATACATAACATATTCACTATTACGTGGCGTTTTATTTAGTAAAATAATGAAATTTATTGAAACGATACGTTACAATATTGTAAATTTGTTTATATAAGTTACTTTCGTTATGTGAAATTTAATGGACTATTATAGTGGTAAGTGGCTTGTAACTCAATTGGTTAAGAATATTCGTCCATGCACCTAAAATCCCATTTTCGAATCTCCTTTCCCATAAGAACAAGTCCACCCATTTTAGAAATGCAAGAGTAAAGGGCAAGGCATGGAAATTGTCCTTACTATTCACTTTGAACTGTAATTATCTTTGTGCAAGTCCACTCATTTTGGAAGGATAAAAATGGTTACTATTTGCAAAAATATATTTTCAACCACTATCATCGAGCCATGTGTCATTAATGGATTAATGGAATAATAGTTATGCAATGCCTCCATGAACCTCCCTAGAAAGAAAGGTTTGTTGTAGCTTGTAAACAAAGTTCTAAAAGATGCTAGGCGCTAGTCGAGCGACTGGCTGGGGCTTAGCGCCTAGCGCCTAGGAGTACTAGGTGGGCACCTAGAGAGATTTAAGTAAATCTATTATATTTCGTGTAAATAAATGTCTATTTATACTTAATATATATATATATATAATTTCATCATAAACTACAAAAATAGAATAACATACATATTATGAACTATTAGAACATAATGAAAACATGGGGAACCATGATATAAGTGTGTCCATTAAGTATGCAACAAGTCTCTTACAATTTATTGAAAAAAAATAAAAATGCAAAATGAAAAGTTATATATTTTCTGTCTAAGTGAATCATGACCTAGGTGGGTCTGGGTGGCTAGGCTGGCACCTCAGCAAGTCTACGCGCCATTTCTTAATTTTCAAACACTTAGGCATTACTCAGGACGGTGGCCAGCCATTTAGCGCCTAGGGCGAGGCCTAAACGGCACTAGGTGGGGATTTTTAGAACAGTGCTTATACTTACTCAGCAACAACCAATGATTGCTTGAAGGTGTTCGGAAGAGCTACCAAATAATGCCGGTGAGTCCAAGAATTTTCCTACGAATGGGCGACGTGCTAAGAGCATCTCCAAATGAGCTATCAAAATGCCCAAATCAGCTTTAATAGTCATAAAAGGCAGCAACAAAATTTTCCAACAAAGAAGTCAAATCTGATGTGGCATGACATGAAATGACAGCGCACCTTGCTTTCAAATTTGACAGCAACGTCAAATATTTCTTCGCCGAGCTCCTACTTCTTCCCCCATTTTCTGATTCGCCGGTACATATATTCTTCTTAGCCGAGCTCCTACTTCTTCCCCCATTTTCTGATTCACCGATACAAATATTCTTTTTCACGAGCTCCTACTTCTTCCCCCATTTTCTGATTCGCCGATACTACCCAATAGTTGGTTTCCTCAATTCCTCTAGGCTTACCAAAATCCCATCTTTTATTTTACCAATTCCCCACCCCAATCCTCCTCTGGTTTTTCTGGGGTTTCATATCTGTTCATCATATTGGGGATTTGATTTTGTATTTTAATTTTATATTAATCTTTTGCTCAGCTTTTTGGGTTTTTATTTTTAAATACTGGGTTTCTGAATACCATATTGGTTAGTGGTTAGTGCTTCTGCAGCAAATGAAAAATTGAACCTTTGAAGAGGAAAATCGAAAATTCTTATTTGGGTTGTTTCCTTGTTCTTCTGGGAAAATTCTTATCTGGGTTTTTTTTGGGAAAATTCTTACCTTCGAAAAGGTGGGGTGGGATTTGTAAAATATAAACATAAAATAAAAATTATAAAAAGAAAATAATGTAATAAAATAATAGTTCAATTTGGCATATCAGGTAGAGACTAAAATTTTAAAAGATGTCAAATTGCCACATAAGCCTTCAAATTTAAATTTTATGTTTAAAATTTGACATTTCCTTTGGAGATGGTCTAAAGCTCCCACAAGAATTTTAAACAAAAAATACTCATATAAATCAAACTATACTAATATGATTCATAGTTCATGGGAAAAAAAAACCTATAAATTAGATATATAGCATGAAAATACCCTAGTTAATTGCCTCATTTATAAATAATAACTAACCTCTAATCCGGGTTCAATCCCCATCAATTCTTTTCTTTACCAAATAACTATTTAACAGACTAATACTATCGCTCTACTAAAATAATAATAATAATTGTAACTAGTCTTTGTTGAAATATCCCACATCAGGTAGAGATAGAGAAAAAAGAGAGACTAAATATCTCAACCCCACTTCAACTAATACTTAAACCTTTTGTGATAAAATTTTACACCTAACAGCAATAATAGAACTACGATGGGTGCATTAAATGCACTTGAGTTTTGGTTTTTTTTTTAAAATTTTTTTTTGTCTAGCTGTCTCCACTCCCAACTAGCTCATCTTATGCCCAGTGGTGAAGCCATGAATTGTCGGGCTAGGGGCGAAAACGCTCTCTCCACTGAATTGGTTGTAACCAATAACACTAAAACCAATTTAAGAAGCTTATAACACTAATTTGTAGCTTTCACACCTCCCAGTCTTCAAATTATTTATAGGAAAAAATATTCACATGTCATTTTCTACCTTTCAATCCTTTATTTTTTATTTTTCTAGCATTTGCATTTGCGTTTGCATTCAATAAAGTAATAAAAATTAAGTGACATAAACAAGAGAATGAAGATAAAAAGAAAAAACAAAGGTAGTAAAAATTGTTTATGATGTTATCATTTATGTGCGGTAACTAGTGAATATGGTAATCATACGTGATGAGAAGGCCAATTGCCCTTGGATTGTTGACCCAAACGAATATGTACAATGAAACATAAAACTGACATCTTCATAGCAACTGGGAAAATGATTTTCCCATAAAGGCCATCATCAAATCTTTGGTCGGGATCATTTTTCATGATTGAGCATTAGGGTGTAGTACCTAATGGTAGGCCTGGGCAAAAAATATCGAGAACCGAACCGAACTTGGTCGGTTCGGGTTTTTTTTTTTCGGTTCATTCAGTATGGGTACAAGATCGGTTTGGTTTTGTGTTTAGTCGGTTTGGTTTCGTTTCTTGGTTCGGTACCGAACCGTACCAAATCAGTTTTTCAATTAAAATCGTCGTCCACGTGGCTTGTTTCTATTGGTGCTTATCCGAGTTCACAAGGACTTGGTCACACTAGAGTGGATCCCTGTGGTAACAAAGACTTGCGACTGCGATCTCTCTCTCTCAGTCTCTCTCACTTTTCTACTTTGTCACTCGGTCTCTCTCTCAGTTGTCGGCCATCCACCACTTCTCCTCCTCTCCAATCTCTTTCACGGTCTCACCTTCACCACAACTATTGTGACATTGTCTTCTCTCATGGTAAGTCATAGGACTGGAAAAAATTCCCGAAAATTCCAAATCAAACCGAAAAAATTCCGATCCCAAATCAAAATTCCTGAAATTTTCGAGATGATATACCGAACTGATCCCGAAATTTCGATACAAGATTCGGTATTGTCTTCCCAATTTTTCGGTAATCCCATACCGAACCGAAAACAAATATTATATATATATATATATATATATATATTATATTTTGATTATAAGAGAATTATTTCAACCGTACGTTGTTTGAAATTTGATCTGTGCCGTTTATTTGTTTTTAGGGTTCTCCAGTCCAGATCGCATCACACCTCATTTCAGTTCCATTCCATCGTTGAACTTGAAGGCTTGAAGTGCAGCCTCGCTCAGCCAGATAGCACCGAGCCCTCCTCTCTCTGTGTCGAATTCCGGCCAGCCAGTGGCCCACCACCACACCATACTATCGTCTCCGACTCTCCAGCCTTCCCCCACCACACAGCCACCGCTCTCTCTCGCGCGATTTTCTCTCACAGACACTTAGAACTCTCGATCCAGCACCGAGTCTCACTCTCACCCCAAATTAGGTAATTAATTTAGTGTTTTGAAATCTAATTTCTGTCTTCCTTTTGAAATTTAATTTAGGGTTTGGAGTTTAATGGGACCAATGTTGATTTTGTCGGGACTAGCAATACTGGTGCGGCCACGAGTGACCGGTACTGCAATTATGCGCTTGGCCTTCTTGATAAGGCCACTCAGACTCTGAAAATTGTACTAACAAGGTAATTGCTTCGGGACTTTTCGGTTTTTGTTGGGTTAGTTTGCGGTGGCTAGCCGACTTTAATAGTTTGTTTCATTTTCGTTTTGATTTGTTTGATTTTGGTGATGTAGTGATGTAATTATGCGCTTGTGTTTTGTTTGTTTCATTGCTGAGAAACATTTTCATCGGCGGTGTTGCTTTAGTTTTCGCTCTGGTTTGGATTTGGAATTTGAGAAGTTGGGGACCTTATTATTATTTTGAGTATGACAAGCATAGTTATGGGATTCTATACTGAATGCTCTTCGTAAATGGAACTGTGGTTATTAAAATTGCAAAGAGTCCGATTTGAAATCTTGGGTTTAATTCATTTTTGTTATATATGTTTATATGAATGTGTATAATCTCACATTTACGCTTTGGTCCAATGGAATATAAGGTGAGCGTGTGTGTCTATATTTATCATTGCTTCTGCCTTACTAAGTCAATCTCTTGAATTTGTTTGCATTTTATAAAATTAGGGTTTTAATTTTTAGATTCAAATTGGGATTGGAATTGGGGGCTTCTCTGAAATTGTAAGATTATGCTGAGGCTTTTGAGTTTGTCGTTGGATTTTTTAGTTTTGATCTAGTTAATCTCTATTAGTTGCATTTTTTATGACTACACTTTTCACAGATTCAATTGGTGAACTGTGTTGGTTGGAAGTGGTGAACTGTGTAGTACACTTGCATTTTCTTGGTTGGTTTTGGATGAGTTCTTTTACTCTTGAAGATTTGTTACAAACACTATTACTTTTACTCTCTTTTCCCCCCTTTGGGTTGTTTAGAAATTGGGTTTTCAATTTTTCATATGTATATGTAATAGGTATAGCTATATACATATATATATATATATATACATATATATCTAGTAGTAGTTTATAGCTATATACATATGCATATATATAGTTTTGAAGCCAACCGAACCAATCTATCTAGTAGTAGTTTATAGCTATATACATACATACATATATATATATATATAGATACATATATATATATATATATATATATATATACATACATATATATATATATATATAAAGGTCGTACCTAGTGCACAAGGCTCCCGCTTTACGCAGGGTCTGGGAGAGGTGAATGTCGGCTATATATATATATATATATATATATATATATATATATATATATATATATATATATATGTAATAGGTCAAATTGAATGATTGTCTCTGCATTCGAAATGTGATCAGCACAACAAAACACTATTAAAGAAGCTGAAATGGTAGTTTGATGAGATGAGTAGTTTTTAAGTAGAATATTGAAAGAAGGAAAACTTCTTGCAGATGATTAGTTTGTACCATCTTACGTTGCTTTTTCATCCCAAAAGAACGAAAATTTACAGTCGCTCTCACCTTTCTACTTTTACCTTGTGGATGTCCAGATTATCAATAGCATAAACTTCTGCAAGTAGCCAACTTCATTTCCATCTGACAAAATGTAGTAATTCACCATCTTAACATGTGGTTTGGACAAAAGGCTTTTATTTAAGCTTCAAAGCTCGTATATACATTAGTTGATACCGATTTTGATCTCTTTGTATGGGCTCGGATAAGTTCTCTTTTCCGATAGATGTGTACTGTAATGTAGAAGAACAAATAATTTTTAGGACAGCAATAAAAACCCTCCCTTGTCACATCTTGCAGTTTTTCTGTAGTGCAGCATTGTTTCTGGTTGATTGTTTCTTTGTGTTTACAGTTTTTTGTTACTTGTGTGTGCTTGCTTGGTGTCTCAGTTCTCTCGGTTTGCTGCATACAGCGGCCTTGAAGTATTTTTCTCTATACTTGTCGGGGTTTTTTATTAGCCTCCCAGCTTCCGTTGGGGTCAATTTTCTGGTATTCTCATATGGCTGCTGTGTTCCTCTATTCACCTCTGCTACTGTGCAGGTTCTTTATAATTTGGTTTAATCATTCATTGTTCTGTCTTTTGGAACAGATTCAGTGCATCTGTGAATGTTATTGTGTATGCTAGATTGACTTGTAATTGTAATCGTAATTTATATTTTTGTATTGATTGGATGCAGGCTTCGGACTGTGTAGACTCTGTAGAGGATGCAATTGATTTGTAATTGATTTTTTCTGCAGTCTGCACATTTCTGTTTCAAAACCCATTTACCAGTAAGTGAAACTTCACACTCGAACTTCCATTTATGCAATAATTTTGTGCAATAACAGAGAGCTTTTGATTCAATTCTTAGCTAGAGAGAGAGAGAGAGAGAGAGAGAGAGAGAGAGAGAGAGAGAGAGAGAGAGAGAGAGAGAGAGAGAGAGCTAATAGTTCATGGCCAGAGCTCCGTTGTCAATCCTAATCTTCCTCCGCCACAACCACTGTGCATGGCCAAACCCAAATACCCAAATCAGATACCTCACTACCGAAACCAAAGATTCTGACTTTACAGAAATTTCTCAACAGATTTGTAAGATTATTAGAACAAAACCCAGATGGGAGCAGACTCTGCCATCCCATTACCCTTCTTTTAATTTCACTGACCCCCAATTTTTCACTGAGCTTTTGAAGCACCAAAGGAATGTGTTTTTCTCGCTTCGGTTTTTCTTCTGGTTGAGCTCTCAGAATGGGTTTTCGCCCAACCCCGTTTCATGTAATGCGCTTTTCACTGCGCTCGTGGAGGCTAAGGCCTGCAATGCTGCAAAATTGCTTCTTGGACATACTGGTTTTAGCCCTGATCCTGCTTCATTAGAAAGTTATATTGGGTGTCTTTGCGAGGGTGGATATGTTCAGGAGGCGGTTGATGTGTTTTATAGGTTGAAAGGGGCTGGATTGTGCCTGTCTATAATGACTTGGAATGCGGCTTTGTCAGGTTGCCTTAAAGTGGGTAGGACTGATATTATTTGGATATTGTATCAAGAAATGATAGAATGTGGTGTTGTAGCTGATGTTGAGACTGTTGGGTATCTCATTCAAGCATTATGTGTTGATAACAATGTTTCGAAAGGATATGAGCTTCTTCGGCAGGTTTTGGTAGATGGACTAGTCCCCGGAAATGCTGCTTTCAATAAATTGATTTCTGGGTTTTGTAAGGAGAAGAATTATACTCGAGTGTCTGAACTCCTCCACATCATGATTTTAAAGAATCGTGACCCGGATAATTATACGTATCAGGAGGTAATCAATTGGCTGTGTAAGAAAGGAAAGGGGCATGAGGGTTTACGGGTTTTCAATGATCTTAAGGATAGAGGCTATGCCCCAGATATTGTCATGTATACTACCATGATTCGTGGTCTGTGCACAATGGATTATATTGGGGAAGCTAGGAAGCTGTGGTTTGAGATGATTGAGAAGGGATATCGTCCAAATGAGTACACATACAATACAATGATTCTGGGGTTCTGTAAGATTGGTAGTTTTGAAGAGGCCAAGATCTTATACAAGGAGATGTGTGATAGAGGTTATAAAGAAACCACAGTCAGTTACAATGCAATGATGAGAGGACTATGTTTACATGGAAGGACCGATGAGGCATATGGATTATTCATTGAAATGCCCCATAAGGGTATTGTTCGTGATTTGATTACATACAACACTCTAATCCAAGGTTTCTGTAAGGAAGGCAAGATAGTAGAAAGTACAAACTTATTCCGAGAGCTCCTGACTCAAGGCTTACAACCATCAACTTACTCTTACACCCCACTTATTGAAAAGCTTTGTCAGGTTGGAGCTGTACAAGAAGCAAAAAGTTTGTGGAATGATATGAAGAATAGAGGTTTGGAACCAACTTTCGGCACTCAAGATTATGTTATCATTGGATTGTGTGATCAAGGAGATGCTGCAGAGGGAATGGAATGGTTCTTAGACATGTTAAAGAGTAAGCTTAAACCAAAGCGGAAAACTTTTGGGAAACTAGTTGAATGTCTTTCACAAAGAGACAGGTTGGATGATTCTTTACTTGTTTTAGACTTTATGTTTAGGGCAGGTTATACACTGGAAGAACACATATGTTATTCTCTGGTCAATAAGCTTGGCGGGGAGAACAACCATTTCGTTGAAACATGTCTAGGGGAGATCTTAGAAGGAAAGTGATGTTCCAAGTCATTTTGATATGTTCCTTGCGACTTCTGTAAGTTACTTCTTTTTTACTAGAAACTTCTGTAAGTTGATTTGTGGCTTTCTTTCAATTGTTTTACAGCTTGTTTTGTATGTTTGTTTATGACAGAAAAGCTCGAATGAAAGTTTGAGTTAATGGATACTGGGGATTCCCAAACAGCAGATTAGGAATGAATTGGGGAAAGGGTATGACATTGTTTTGAGAGTTGACATTTTGATTTGTGGCTTTCTTTCAATTGTTTTACAGCTTGTTTTGTATGTTTATGACAGAAAAGCTCGAATGAAAGTTTGAGTTAATGGATACTGGGGATTCCCAAACAGCAGATTAGGGATGAATTGGGGAAAGGGTACAACATTGTTTTGAGAGTTGACATTCAGAGTGCTCAGACTCTAAGGAAGATTTTTGGGAATTCGGCTGTTTTCATATTTTTGATGGCAGAGAGTGAGGCCAAGCTTATGGGGAGGCTGATTAACCGGAAAACTGAGGTGAAGACTTATTGTGAGGGTTGTGATGGCTAGGGAGGAGGTGAAGCATGTTAAGAATTTCGATTATGTGGTGGTGAATGCGGAGGGGAGGTTGGACAATGTGGTTAAGTTGGTGGAGTCCATTATTGACGCAGAGAAAGCTTAGGTGCAGCAGAAGAGTTATGTGATATAGCTGTGGAGGTAAATGTGGTAGCAGGTCGAATTTGTGTTTTACGAGTTTAATTTTAGTTATAAACTGTTGAATTTGAATGGACTAGTTTCGCGTGTGGAAGAATGCACGCAATGATCCAAGTTCTATTGGTTTTATAGGAAGTTGTTTATTTTGTAACAATTTGAATGTGAAATTTAGGATCTAGGAAAATCAACTGCTTTAAGTAGTTGCAGTTAACATAATCACAATGTGTGTTATTCAAGAAATTGGAAGCAATCTATTATCTTTATGATGTGAAAATTAACTTAACACACAAATTACACCCTATTAAATGTGTAATTGTAGTATTAAGCAAGTAGGGATCGTTCTAGACCGGGGATTAACTAGGGCTGCTAATCAACACAAATAAGACTAAAAAACACTAAACTAGACTCTATAAACTCAAAACTGACTCAAAACACTCAAAACAGCAAAACTAAGTTAAAAAAGCCTCAAAATAGACTCTAGGGAGCTATTTGGACGAATTTAAGACTAGTAAGACTCCAAAACACTAAATTGGATATAAGACACTTAATTAAAAGGGGGATTGATTTGGATGAAATTTAACTAAACTAAACAGATTGCAAAACTAAAGCAAACTAGGTACGAAATCAGGTGAATTGAATGGTGAAATAGGCTAGTTAGAGGATCTTTCTCCACACATGACATATGCAAACAAACCAATTTCCAGTTATTATTCCTTTAAACCATGAATGACAACACCCTAAGTTAACCGTGATAGCACAAATTAACTATCAGATTTTCCTTATTTCATTGAATTGGACGGGATACGCATCATAACCAAATTACCCTTCTCAAGTCCCCTAACTATGAAAAGCATGATAGAAAACATATTTAAGGTCATTAAGTTCTTTGAAAACCATAAACATAGACGATGCATTCGTAACTATGAAAAGCATGATACTCCTGTTAAGGATTTACTTAACATAATCATGACTAGTGACTTCCACTACTTGTGAATATAAGTTCATAACAATTAGGTGAAACTCCCTTATAATCTAGCATCAAGTTTATGCATGCAAACTAAGTATGCATCCTCAATCAACATACATAAACAAGTTTTAATAATTCAGATAAGCAAATCACATTCAAGACTCAAGAAACAATAACTGGATGTAATCAATTCATATAAAACATATAGTCATGGCTTCGAATTTACCTCTAACTAAAAAGAAATTAGTTCCTCATGTCTTTGAAAACATAAAACCAAATTAAAACAAACATTGAACTAAAACTAAGGATAGAAAGAACCAGGAGCGTCCCAGCAACTCCAATGGCAGATTCAAACCCTCCTTGGATTGCAAGCCACGACACAAAGCTCCTTCTTCCTTCCTTGCTGCGTTACTTGATGAATCTTTGGGAAATTGGCGTGAATTGTGGTGTAGAATGAATATGGGGGTGGTGGTTTGAATTGTGGCAGAAAATATGTATTTATAAGTTAGGGTTTTGTGCAAAGTAGTGGAGGAGAAGGATTACACAATCCTAGAGGAATAAGACTAGGAAATTCAGCACAAAGCTTCTAGAAAGGGATTAAATTTGTCAGATTTCCAGGGGGAAAGAGGATCAGGTTATTTGCATTGTTTCAGGGCTTCTAGAATAAGATATTAGGAATTCTAATGTGATAAGGAGTCCCCCTTGCAGCTGGAATTAAGGTAGGATAGGATTAGAATAGGATAAGATTGTTAGACTTCAGAGAGATATCCAATAAGAACGATAGAGAAAAGAGAGAAATGAAAATTGTAATTTCTGTGTATATAATAATGTTACACTTTGGTATATAAACCATCATTTTCATATAGGATAACTACCTAACTTATTAACTAAGTAAGGTATAACAAACTTCTCACAACAACTCTAACAACACTCACTTAGCATCATTTACATTACTACCCTTAACAAAGATAAGATAAGGTTAGTTTGGATGAGATAAGGTTTTGGATAAGATAAGGCAGTTTGGATAATATCTCCTTCTTTTGAGCTGATTCCTTATCTTCAATGTCTTGAATTAATTTCCTCAACTCTTTAACACATTCCTAGCCTCTCTTGAACTTCAAATTTGTCAATTCCTTGTGCTCCATATGTAAGCTATCCATTCCAGCCCAAAACTGCTTTAAAATGCTCTAAAATGCACTTTCTTGCCAATTTTGTCATTTAGACCTACAAACACACGAAAATAGCTTAAATTACTATAATAAACAGAAACTAACTATGAAAGTGCAAGAAAACAAGCTAACTGAGTCGTATAAATATGCTTCTATCACTTTATCGGAGTTATCCTTATTAAGCATGTATCCACACTAATGATCCCTGAGCATACAGTGTTAGATATGGTCGAATTTGATGCACTAATTAATGGAAGGTAGGAAATATTCAGTTTCATTGGAGATGTTTGTGGCACGAACTTTTAGTAAAATGAGTTGGTTACGAGATAAGCTATAAGAACTGACATTCCTTTTCTTGCTGTACAACCCTTTGATAACCAATCTGCTCCATACTGAACCAAAATGCTTCACTTCACACTGACTTTGCTCTTTTGCTGGTTTAAGATACGTTTGTAACAACTGACTTGTCTGTTAGCCAACGTTTACGGAGGTCCTGTCTTGGTATATTAGCCGGACATCTAAACAGGTGAATTAGAGAAATCAACCTGTGTTAGCTTTGCATGTTTAGAAGGAAATCTGTTTTCAGCCTCCTTGCTATCAGATATCATTTATGGCCGTTAAAGGTCAAACCATGTCTGCTCAACCTGCCTATTCACCATCTTCTTTTCAACTGGTTCACATAATTATCTGGTTTTGTTTGTCATTTGAAGGATGCAAATATTTACTGCGTCGTTATGTGAAGGCTGTTAGTTAATCTAGTAGCCATTGGACATGGATCTGTTGTGTTGTAGCTAGGCTTGTGAAACACGCATAAGGTTCCTATTTTCAAATAGTTTCTACTTTTGGGCTACATAATTGACTTCCTCTAGCCATTCTATTTGCTGTATTCTGTTTGTTCTGAAAATGCCTGAGAACGTTGGTGTATGCCGCTCTTTTTTTCCGTATGTTAGCGACTATTGCTACTATTCTATATAGCATAGGCAGTTTGAAATTGAAGATTCAATTTATGTGTTGAGTTGATTTGGTTGATAGTTTCCGACTTTCGATGCTGCCCCTCGGGAAGATTGGTCATGACCTGTCTTAGGTAGGAGAATTTGATCAAGTTGTCTAAAATATGTCTTCCTCCCTAGCACAGCCAAATTATCTTTCTCTAGCATCTAACCTAACCCATAGGACTCATTCAACACCCAGGACTTTGAACTTGAAATCTACCCAAAAACAGCAGACTCATTCAATACCCTATTCTAAAATGTTGCTTCCACTTCACTCCACTATTATGGAGAGATTACCTGACTTAATGCAGCTGTGGCAGTATCCCGAAACAATCAAGCATTGCAATTACTTGATTGGTTTGGAATACAACTATAGACTACAATGGCCTAGTATCATCACTTAGACCAACTCTAATGGTCGGCTGAAAGCCAAATTTCCCCATTTATTCTCCCCCAACCCCCAAACACCACCTAACCCATGCTAAAACATTGGGCTAAAAGCCAAGTGCCAAAGCTGGGCCAAATACCCTCCAAATTCCCCCCCCCCCCCCCAAATGTGAGTGGATTTGTTGGCACTTGGGCCAGTCTTGGCCCGCCAACGCTCCAATGCGCCCCACGCGGTTGGCTTGCAAGGGGTGGGCCCTGCTGTCAGCTGTGTGTCGGCCAACATCATCATCCCAACGGCTAAAATTTTAATCCAAGGGCTGGGCTTTAAGGATCGTTGGTTGATCCAACTTTCCAGATTCAAATTTAATTTTTTTTTAGAATATGTTATTTTAAAATACATTGAATCCAAAGGCTAAGATTGAATATAATCAAATCTAACAGTAAAAAAAAAAGATCTAATGACCCAAATTTAAATTCAATGGCTAAAATATTATAAAAAAATTATTTAACTCAAAATTCACCCAAAAACTCTATAAATACCTATGAACGGTTGGTGAAACTTGAAAGTTTGGTGTTGAATGGTTGGTGAATTGAAAATTTGGTGTTGAACAGTTGGTGAATTGAAAGTTAGTCCAGGGTTGAAAGATTGATGAAAATTGAAGACTTGCTTTGTGGAAAATTTAATGATTTTTCAATATTTATCGGAATTTAAATATTTTTATATTAAATTTTTCATAAAATTAATTTACGATAGTTTACATTTTTTTTTTAAATTTAATTTAAGAAAAAAAAAAGCCTAAGTTCATTATTTAATAATCTCAGACTAAAATTTTAGGCCAGAAGGGTTGGAGTAAAAAAGCCTGTTTCTGGGCTAAAACCTAAATTTTCTGGGTTAAAAATTTGGCTTTTAGCCCAACCATTGGAGTTGGTCTTAGAGGTGTTTCAAATAAACTGAAAATCACGTAACATGATTTAGTAGATTAATAGAGAATAAATACACGTAACATGATTTGGTGAATTAGTAACATCACATAGCAGTGTTCCAAAAAAAACCAAAAATCGCTCAGCTGGAGAAATTTTTCTATGTATGTGTAATTAACTAAAAGGAACCAAATTTAGAGCCAGTTACGATCAAATGCAACCTTACTTAACTAAAACTAAAAGCCACGACTTTTTAGGCTTAGTTGCTGCCCAAAACACTCTTTGATAGAGATTGGATCCGTGCACTCAAACTCAAAGGGATTTTAGGTGAGCAAGGAGTGGGACCCATTTGAACCTTTAACTTGACACAAATGAACTCACAAATCATAACCCTTTTCTGCAAATGTGATCCCAAAAGAAGCGCTATATTTCTTTAATTCATTGGATCTGATGATTGAATATTAAGAGAAATGTGTTAGACGTAAGTGTGTAAATAGAACAGTAGCACTAATGAAAACCTTTTTCTGCAATCAACGACCAACTGATTTGTGAATCTTACACACAAGAGGAATATTCTTTTTAATAAATCCACAATCTTTTTAATAAATTGATGTTTGAGAAATAATTATGTTGGCTTATGCATGTATATGATTAGGTGGAGTGGATTATATGAAGGATTCAGAAAGGATTAGGTTGTAGATAATGTCACGTGGCATGTCGCCATTCATTAAAAATCTGACCGAAATCTATCCTCAATGATTGTAAACAGATTGTGACACGTGCCGCGACGTGATTGGTTAAATTTTTTATCGGAAATCTATCCTCAACGA